GAGAATAATAGCTGAAAAGTGGGCTGAGGATCTCAATTTTTACGGCGTTTCTAGCCGCGTCCCGGCGCGAAGGGGTTAAGTTTGAAACCTCCAGGAAACTTTGTCTTTGGCAACATAATAAAAACGTATTTCCCCTATTTCCCTGTCTGAGTGTTTGACACTTTTTCTTTTCATTACAGTCTTGTCAATGAGTGAAACACTGATAAAGTTTTCAAACCGTCTTCAATTCCTGAAAAACCCAAAGCATCAAAACTAAAGTAACTTTTTTTCCAGGAATAAGACCAAAATTAGAGAACTACATGTATTGGCGAATTTTTTTCTGGATGCTTGAGGTGTCACTGCATCCATGCTCAATCCCCTTAAGCAGTTACATCCACTTAATCCTTTTCCTCAACCCACTTCCCTTTCCATGGTCCCTACCCCTGTCCTCCCTATCATTTTCCCACCTCCCTCTCCCAACCCTTGCTCTCTGTATTTGTTTTCTGTTCAACCTCTTGTTTTGTCGCATCAGCGATTCACCGCTCTTTCACAGTCTTCCCATGACTATTTTGGTATTGCTTCTCCTTTCTCTCCTTTTTTTGTTTCTGTTGGTGACTGGAGCAACTCTTTCTTTTTGATCCACTATTTGCTCTACTGTTCTTGTTTTATGGGTCATGGCTTACCCCTGACTCACCCATTCACCACCCTTGCCCATCCTAGAACTCTCTCTCCCCTCACCTTGTCGTCTCTTTCCTTCACCATTTCTCAGATTATCATGGTAGAATTGTGCAGCACAGCTTCTGAAATATTGCCCAATTACACAGTTCACAAAATGCACACGGGACACACAACACTCTGAGACAAAACTCAATGCACAAATTCCATATAACTGTCTAAGGGGCGTGGCTAAAAGTCAAATGGCGATAGGTCAATAGTTTGTGTATCTTTGGTATCGGAACTTGTGCAGTCGTGTGTGTGTGAGTTGTTTTTACTCTTTAGTGTCCGCAGCAAGCCAAGATTGGTATTCATTTTGATATATTTTTTTGTGTGCCTGATTCACTGTTTTGAAGTATTTATTTGAATATCCCTATAATTGGTAGTCCACCGTTGTTGGTGATTTCAAAAGATGTAATTCCTCTTTTGTCTTTAAAAATTTTCGTTCCCTGTGGGAAATATCTCCACAATATCGCCTGCAAAAGAAAACTTGATACCAATATAAACATGTTCATCGTCCTCTCATTGCACAGGTGATACAGGTGTATGTTGGCTGGCCAGATGCAGCCTACCCGGTCCCTAAACTTCAACTGGGAGCATTCCTCCGTGTGTCAACCACCCCGCAGAATGAGATCACCAACTACGTGACTATCCCAGCCCGTGTTAGGGCGGTCTACAATGAAACCCTTGTGCTTCAGCCCGGCAAGTTCATGCTGTACGCCGGTGGTCAGCAACCCGGTCAGAAGAGACGCGTGAGCTCCAATGTCCTGATCACTGGTTTCACTGTGGTCGGGCCTGCAACAAAACTCTCAGAGTGCCCTCCTTAATAAGCAAACAGGCCACAGGCAAATATTAGGGGTTGGTGGTGGAGAGAAATTCGTTGATTGCAGGACTCTGTCAAATTTATATCTCTCTGAAATTGTCATTTTGAACGGGTAAGTGGGAAGAACTTAACCAAAAATTTGCTTAACAGAATGTCAGAAGACTTTTTATTGAGCGATTCAAAGTTCAAGTTGTCATCAGTTATCAATATCATTACTCACCTCTCTTCTTTCAGTTGAAATTGATTCATAGTTAGTGCCGAGCCTACAGTCAGTTATGGCAGTGGGCATTTTGCTCTCGTATACCCATTTACTGTCGTGACCACGTGAGTGCAGTTACCAGCACTTGGGACAAGAAACATTTTTGGCACTCCCGTAAAGTAATTTGACTGCGTATTTACTTTGAATCTTCTTTAGCTACTGTAAAGCCCATGTTTGTTTACTACACAGATCAGTATGTCCAAAGCTGGCTCTGTCAACTGATGAGTAAAATAACCCATTAACCCACCTTGTGTCAGACCGGTATCTATAAGTTTTAGTAATTATAGCATGTTGACTGGCAACCTTATTTCACTGACCAACCATCTGTATCGTTACACTCAGAAAAATCATTCCCATATTGGTACAAAATAAGTCAGTAATGGGAAAGAGTGAAAAATCCAAAGTTTGGTTTTTATGTTAACAATGATGAAACAAAAGGTATTCAAAATCAACGGAAAATACAAGGAATAATATGACTTTGAAACTTCAATGAAATGACATTATTTAACACATAATATGTATGTAAGTGAATTTTGCTCTTTCACTTAATGGAGATTCGCTAACATAAACAATCATATGACAAATCCACCTGTGCCTCCTTTAGTGCACCACATTATGGACAAGTTATCTTAACACGTGCAGCTATTAGCAAGGATGAATAGGGTTGGGGGTGAATGGTTTTGCATATAAACTACTCCAGACCAAAAAAATGACTGAATTTTAACTGGATATTTGTAAGTTAGTTGTAGGTTTTTTTTTAAAGTTATGTAGCTGTGTACTCAGAATTGCCACAAAAATCTGAAATTGTGTTTTTCAAACTTAATATACATAAATGTGGTCTTAGATGGTAACCTTCATGAAATCTTGTGAAATGGAATCTAAAAGTCATGCATCGTGTTCATTGTCTAAAGTGTATTTGTTAAGCATTTAACTTCCTGGTCTGATTAGGAGGCCTTTTGAATATATGTATGAGGACATGGGTGTTAAGATAAGTACTATGTTAGCAGATCTAATTCAAGAATCTTTTTGACTCAATATAAACTTTGGATCAAGCAACTCACCATAGCTCCCAACAGTTTTTCTTGGTATGCTAGGAACGATCTGTCTTTATGTTCCTCTCAAGTAACAATGTACATGTACTTTGCTACTTTTTTTTTCTGAAATTTTCTAGAAACAGACCAAAAAGGTACAGTAACAATTTTATAGGGGTTGTCCCATCATTTCCTGATATTTTATTTGGTTTTTATAAATTTGGAGATATGACAGTGTTATGCAATAACCTGTTACTAGCATTGTGTCTGTATATTTTGTGTCATGTTTAATTGCATCATGTCTGTTTACACAACTTTTGAAGTTTGCTTCAGGTAAAAATTCATATGCTTATTTCTTCACAGGAAACTGCAGTATTGAACTTAAAAAACTGACCTTTTTCATAATAAAAACTTACTTCCTCGCCAGTGTGTTGAATCATCTGCTACTAGAATGCTTACTGCATGTATAGTTTATTGAAGAGATAGACATTACAATGAGCCACTTCAGTATTCCAACAGCACATGCTCAGTCAGTATTCGGGAACAGCCTCACACGTGTGTGATAGTTTGTCCTATCAGCGCAGCCATACGCTGACTGGAGCACGTGCTTTGTTCCCGAAAGACCCTGGCTTTTTTGAAATACCGAACTAGCGTATTCTGTACCTTTCCCGGTATCTCTTTGTATTTGCCTCAGTTACACCCTTTAAACTGCTAGATCAACGAATAATGTATAGTTTCCATAGTAGTTCTTAGACTTGGCTTTTTATTGAAATGTAATATTTTGTAGTTTGCAGTGGGGAGTAAGGATCAAGATAAAAATTAAATATCAAATGTTCAGGATAATGGTGATGATTTTGCCGTGATAGATTTTAACGTAAAGTTGGCAGCAATTCTTTCACAGCAGCCTGTCTGCTTCTCTTTATTAGCCAACCACACAGACTCATTGCTCAGAGTCACAGATCGCAACAGAGAGTCAATGAAATCTTGCCAGATTGCAAGCTATCTGTTCCTCCCGAAGCTTCCAGCTGCCCTCCCAGCAGACCCACCTACGATAACAAAGCCCCAGTCAAAATCTCTAATCTGGTTTTTGTTTTTTTATTTGACCAGCTCCCTTCACGCGCTTCGTGATCCATTACAGAATCGAACGCATCATGAAATCGATTTACACTTGCACTACTGCAAAAAGGACTGAAATCAAAACGTGCAACAATTTTGGAACCAAGACTATGCCAGTGGGTTACAGCGTATTATCGAAATTGTGACATACGTAAAAACAAATGTTGACTGAATTGAAATTACATGTATAACTGAATTTGGAACTTTCTTGGCAGGGGAAGAAATGCAATTCACAAACTGACACATCCTGTGAAAGTGTGACCACGTTTTCTCAAGTGTATAAGGCCTGCTTCAAAAACTGAGCCTGGGCCGTTTTCCAATACTCAACTTCAACTGCGTCTCAGGCTTCGGGTAGGAAATCAAATCCCCTATTGTGGGCCTGGGGCGTTTAACTTAAACTGATGTACTGTAATGTTTGGCTCTTTTGCATCTTACTTGATGTTTTGTGGCACTATCAGACTTACTCTTGCGCTTACAACCTCAAAGTCTGGAAGTAAAAAAACATTGAAGCCTGAGACGGAGCGTAAATCCAGTATTTGAAAACGGCCCTAGACCGAATGCAGTAAAAGCTCGGACTTTGACAAACGTTGATCGGCAAAGGGACTTGGATTATTAACGGTAAACCCTACGCGAATCTGCTTCGGGGTTATCCGTACTGCATGCGTAACAAAATTTAGGTAGTCATTTTAGGGAAACTAGCTGTAGTAGAGAGAAATTTCGATTTGATGTACTACCAAGGGCAAACTAATATTAAGTCAAGTGAATCTCACGAATATTTGTTGATTACATTTTAAGTTTGTTGGTGAGAGTTCAATTACGCCTACTTTATTCAAAGGGAGCGGGATAGCTTAGCTTAGCGGTTCTTTCCTCACTTGGCACCAACGAGGCCCCGGTTCGAGTCCGGCTTGGCCCAGGCATTAAATGCATTTGGTTTCCAGTCCATATACTCTCTCTCGAAGGTTTTCCGGTTTCCTCCTGCCTCTAAATCTGGACCTTCTTCTTAATTCAGTATAGGGACCCCATTGGAAATAAGTTGCAAATCTTTCATAGGCTGTCCCTGGTATTACTTAATTGCGATGGAAATACCGAATAAATCCAATCCAGTTCCACGGACGTGTAGCCAGCAAATCTCTATATCCTTAATCAAGCGCCAGGTATATGGATAACCCGGGCTTTCAATTTGAAGAACTTCAAACAGCAAAGCAGAAATATAGCTGTTATACCAACTTTTAAGGGAGATCTATTCAATAACGCCTTCAACCACTTTAAATACAGAAAAAAAATAGCATTTTACAATCAAATTATTAAGGAAATAAACTTCACGAAATTTTTATGAAAGATTCTAAACTCACTAAAAGACCCAGTTCAACTCGACTGAATCGTGCAGGTTGCGGATAAATCTTCGTAACTTCATTCTCATCACGTATAAAGCACATGACGTGAACGTCACCTAGAAACGATGATGCCGGAATCATCAGGCCGTTTTATGCAATTCGTTTTCAACTCAAACTGGTGACGTTTCCACAATATTACTTGAAGAACACAAAGGTGATAATTCAGATATCAAAGTTTCTTGGGTTACGAGAGATCAGAAAGCTCGCCACATGTGACCGTTTACATTTTGAGTTGAAATTGGGGAGAACGGAGGAAAAGAAAACGATGTCACTGACCCCTGTGTACTTGAAAAGAAAAATTGTCTTTCGAGGTCATAATCTAGAACATTCAGTGAAAACACAAGCGGCCCGGTTCCTGTGAAGGTCCCCTATCGACGGCTGTTTCACTCGGCGATTTGAAGTTCATGGGCACGTATAACCGTAACTGGGGAGAAAATTCATTGCATGAATTCTTTAAAAGACGAAAGTTGGTGGGGAATGCGAACCTTCTTATCTTAAATGTTTCAGAAACTTTTGCATATTAATGAGCTTCTGATGGGCAGATATTTGCATTCACATTTTTACATGGGTTAGTGTCCGCTTTATTATTATTCAAATTAAAATTATGGCAAGTAAGTACCCGTGTTGTACGGAAATTATTCGAGATCGACGGCCACCTTGCACCACCTCAAAACAAAAAGTTAATTAACAAACAACCATCTGGTGAGAGTGGGTTCACACACCGCCTTTTAGCCGCACGTTGTTTTGATGGGTGCTTACGTAACTGTGTAGTGCAACGTGAGCTAGCTGCATGCTGCACTCGATCCCCTCAGGCTGCAGCGAGCCCGGCTCAGGACGACGACCGCCACACGATGGGCGTTACAGACAATGGCCAACAAAGAAACGAAGGACTTCTGGAAGATGAGCTTTGTATGGCACATTTCGCATCTGAGGTTAGTGGTCACGTCATGTGACGGCATTTTCTCCGAGCTTGCTCAAGTCCGGCCACATATCGTGCTTGGTTCATCAAGAGGTCTTAGTGGTCGACACGGATCCCGGTACCTACTGTACTGTACATGCACTTGGAGACCATACTGACACACTCCTGAAGCGCAGTTGCTGTACCTCGCATGCTAGGCAAGTTTCAGGGTTCTATCAGTTAATTTGACTGTATGGTACGTTGGTCTTTGGAATACGGACGCCGCAGTGTTTCCTACCTCCATACATGCACAAACCCAATGAGACTGGTTTGAAAAAATTCTAAGTGGTTGCTATAAGTAAACGACTTGGTATTTTCCCAACTAAATTGAACTTTCTGGACGTGTTTTGCTTTCTTGAAGGCTAATAACATGCTTGTATTTGGTGGAGAAAGAGTTAATTCATCATTGAAGTAGCAAACTCCTACCTTGATGTTTGATCATGGAGGAATGTTCTTATCCTCCGTGGTTTGATAGTACTTGATTGCTCTTTCAGCAGGTGCTGTTATCCATCAGACTGCTACAGAGGTTGGTATGCCGAACATTAAGAGGATAGCACCCGCAATGCTGTGCAGTTCCCTCCTGTGTCTTCTATTCCTAATATCTGTTCGTGTCACGGTCGCCGAGTTTCCTTTCCGGAATGTCTCCTTGTCCTGGGACGAACGCCTCGATGACCTCATCCCCAGGCTGTATCTAGATGAGATTGCCTCACAGATGGCCCGAGCTGGCTACAAACAGAACGGCCCAACACTGCCCATCCCCAGGCTGGGTATTGGCCCATATAACTGGGTCACTGAGTGTCTACGAGGGGATGTTAGATCTGGAAATGCAACATCATATCCAATGCCAATTGGTCTGGCTGCATCATTTAGGTAATACATATACCAAAACCTTTACTGCCAAAGCATGCCAAATTATAAATTATGCCAGCAACATCAAGCACTCAATCTTTTAGCCAAGTTTTAAAGATCTAAAAGTTCTTTCCATGCAAAGTTGAGGCAAGTTGTGTTCTTCACCAGGCAGATGTGAGACTTTTCTTTTCCATTATGCAAGGTTCAAGCTTCAGTGAAACATAAAACTGCAGTTGGCGTGTGCTCAACTTTTTGAACAAATGGACCATTCAGAACTATGATGTAATGACTAGTGAAGATAATGTCTTGGTTTTGGTTCACACACTCACTGTGTGTTCCATATGACTTACCCAATTAAAAATGGCCTTTTGCTACTCAGTAAGCAGTTTGAACGTTTGCATTAGTTCATGTTAACAGTGTAATATGAACTTCCTGTGGTAATGCACCTCCATAACGGCTTAAGTGAGTCTATTCATGATTGATCTTCATTTTATAGTGTTGACTTACTCACGGCAGTTGGCACGGCAACAAGCATAGAGGTCCGTGCCAAATACAACAACTACACAAGCCATGGAATATACAAGGATTATGGTGGACTGAGCTGTTTCAGTCCTGTCATCAATATTGTGAGGCATCCCTTGTGGGGAAGGATTCAAGTAAGAGTTCGACTGACGAGTTGCTGATTGCTGTCTTTATGCATCTTTCCACTTCTCATTTCAGTACATTTTGCAGTTAACTGTAACCAACTAGGGCATTTTTCTGGTTATTTTTTGGCTTTTCCTCATCTCTGAAAAACTAATAAGCACTGCAGTGGTAGACTTGATGTCAATTGGCTCAAAAGTGAAATGCCTCATTTGCCAATTTGAACTTCAAAGATCTCTTGATATTTTTACCACCTTCAAGTCCAGCTGTACTTTCATCTGCATGCAAGTGTAAGAGGCAAACCTTTTAAAACTTCCTTTTCAGGAAACGTATGGTGAAGATCCTTTCATTTCGGGAGAATTAGCCAAGGCATATGTGGCCGGTCTGCACGGGGATCACCCACGCTATGTCCGTACAAGCTCTGGCTGCAAGCACATTTTTGCCTACGACGGACCTGAGGACATTCCATCCTCCAGATTCTCGTTTGATTCTGTGGTAAGTTGCCTCCCTGACATCTTGCAGACACTGTGACAGTACTCAATGTTTGCGTGAGCGGTTAAATGCCGTGGCACCTTCTTGTTTTGTAAAGAATGCAACACTCAATGATATTTGCTTCAAAATAGCACCGACCTGCAAAAGAGAGAGAGGTATGGTGCAAGGGCCGGCGTCAGTCACTTCTGGAAGGGGGGGGGGACAAAGTAGCTGGAGCAAATACAATGTAAACACAAAGTGTGAATTTCTTAATGGCATGAGGTCCAGGGAAATTTTGGATTCTAGGTGCCCTGTGTGGGATCTGAGGCAATTTCGGACCCTTTAGAAAGGTCAGTATTTCGAGCAAAGATTTTTGCCTGATTTATTCCATAGTTTGGATGCATTGAACTATGAAGAGCTGTAAAATTAAATGTATGTTTTAAGTTCTATTCAGCAAGGAAAAAAGTGTGCGTGGGGAGGTTTGTTGGGGGAACGGTATAAAATGCGAGTGTGTGTGGGGGGACATGTCCCTTCCATCACCCCCCACTGATTGATGGCCATGAACTAGTGGGAGGAATTTCAGCTTGGTGCTTTAGTGCCATTTCCATCATGAGAGCATAGAGCTGATCCTATTGTAAATGCAGTGTGTACGTCTGTAATAAACTGTCTTCAAAAGCATGATGTGCTCACTATGTAACTTTGAAATGGCTCAGTAACTGTATCCTTGTTCATACAGGTGAGTGACGCAGACATGCAGATGACCTACCTCCCCATGTTCCACGAATGTGTCAAGGCGGGTACCTTCAACTTGGTCTGCAGCTATAACAGGTCAGTGTATAGATCCAGCCAGCCTCACCTCATAAGGACAGTGTTGTTGCAACTGAAACTAGCCCATTTGGATAAGTATCTGCTTGGTTGCAGCAATGCCCAAGTTTTATAGGGGAAAGTCACTAAGAAATTAGAATCGACAAAAACCAAAGGTTTGTGATGCTTTATTCTGAGTCATGGCAATGAGAAAGCTGGTATAAATTAAAAAGTTGGTCATTGGGAAAGATTTCCTGTGGATACTTAACAAGGATGACTTCAGAAATGAGATATGAAGCTGACTTTAATTTTTCTGGTTTCATTTATAGTATTTGACTTAGTTTCTTTGATTATGAAAAGCTAATTTGATTGCAGTGGGCATATTGTGTGTATTTATGCACAACCTCACCACACTTTAATTCCAAGACGATCATGAGTGCTCCATATCGAGTGACATCACTGTCAGCCAGATTACTCACTTCTAATGACCCATTTCTCCATCTCAAGCATCAATGGCATTCCCGCCTGTGCAAACAAGAAGTACTTGATCGACGTTGTTCGCAATCAGTGGGGCTTTAAGGGGTATGTCTCAAGCGACGATGCAGCTCTAGAATTCTTGTACAACAAACACAACTATACCAAGGGAGCTCTCGATTCAGCTGTGGCGGCGGTCCACGCCGGCTGCAACCTGGAGCTAACAGGATCCCATCAGCCCGTCTACACTCACCTGACGCAGGCCGTGCAGCTGGGCCTGATCAGCATAGAGGAGATGACCACCCTAGTCCGGCCTCTCTTCTACACCAGGATGAGGTTGGGAGAGTTTGACCCACCTGACATGAACCCTTACACCAAGCTGAATGTGGATGAAGTAGTGGAGAGCGCTGAGCATCAGGAGTTGGCAGTCTCTGTGGCTGTCAGGACCTTTGTCTTGCTGAAACACATCGGCAACGTCCTGCCTGTTGGCAAGATTGCAACTCTGGCTGTAAGTCTTCTGGTTATTGATACCATTTGGAGTATCATATAACTTTGTCCATCATCGTCTGAGTTTGATCGCATATGTGTACAAATTCAATGCACTACTGTCTTTTTGCAATAAGTACTGTTCTAGCTACATGCAAATGCATCCTAGTTGAAGAAGGCTTTTTATAGGCATACATGTGGAGTGTAAGCATTTGTCAGCACTTGTGTAATTTTAGTTTTTAAAAAGGCATCTCGGAATCTTTACAATCAATTGTGATGAAAACATACATTGCACTAAATTGTATAGAGCATTTGTAGCTGTCAACTTGACTTTCTGATTGTCCATTTTGTGTGCCAACAGGTTGTTGGTCCTATGGCCGACTCACCATATGACCCCTTCGGGGACTACCCTCCGGGCACCTTGCGTGAGTACATCACCACAACCAGGGAGGGTTTAAAAAGCATCGCATCGATAGTGAAGTATGCTGGAGGTTGCAATAACCCTGTATGTAACCAGTACAATCGGGCGGAGGTCATAGACGCTGTCACAGACGTGGACTTTGTCGTTGTGTGCTTGGGTACAGGTATGTTGCCTGAGGAAAATTCTTTTCATCATGTTGTGTTTGAAATCTGGAGTTGTTTTTATTCAGTTTAAATTTACGGTGTCTGATCACAAGTATTCCTCTCCAACCAACTTCTCCTTTGCACGTAAATGCCCAAACAAGAAATGTTAGAGCTATCATCCCCTGGCTGATTCCCACCCCAACTTTAAAGATGAGCACAACCCTTGAAAGTCAAAACTGTGCAAGAAAAGTACTTTTATTCATGCCCTTCTTGTAAGGATATGTAGTGCTTTTCATGACTTAATATATGAAATATATTCTCATATTTAACCCTAACCCCCCAAGGGTTGCTGGCCCTAACCTTCCCCATTCACATAAAGTTAAACACCCACACGGGACTTTGTGCACAGAGGCTGTTGGACTTTGTTTTTCTGAGGTATGCCAAACCCAATGCAAAAGCCAGCTGTAATGGGCCTACCAGATCTATCCCCACAGAATTAAACACTTTACTACTGTGTAATTCTGTGTGGTTGGGGAAGGTTACAGTTAATCTTAAAGTAAGTTTTCGAAAGTTTTCTTAACCTTTTCAAACCTTACATTCTCCACTTCCACCAAATTTCTCAAACCTTGAAGACGTTTACCTTGAAACTTGTGCAGTGCCTTCTGCAATCTTTCCAACTATATGACCCTTCTATGTTTTATTTGTTTTTTCAGGAACATCAGTAGAGACAGAGTCTCGAGACCGTCGTAATCTTGACTTGCCTGGTTCACAGCTGAAGCTCCTACAAGATGCTGTACAACATGGTAAATTTCTTGCACCTTTCAGGAGATTCAGAAATGTCTTCAGGCTTTATTTTTTCATGATCGAAAGCAGCAGTCAGACAGAGAACAATACGTCAGTGCAATGCATGTACATGTATATCAAAATGGTCAGTGTTCTGCACTCTTGCCTTAACATCAGGGCCAGTGATGACTTTCCTAAAATTTGGTTTAGTTTTTCATACAAGTTTCCAAAACTTCAAAGTAGAGGTGAACTAATTTGTGCACTTCCACATATAATGGTGGTTGTTTTGATTAGGATAGCTGTTCAATATTTCATTCTGCCTTCCATATTGAGAAAATGTGCAAGACCTTTCTTAGAAATAAGCCCAGATCATTCTTATGCTAAGCATAGATTGGATAGTAAAATGAACTCTGCAAATGATACAAGGAAACGTATGAACAAGGTGAATATTGTGACCTTTTTGGTTTTTTGTGTGACATATGACTTTACACGAGGCTCACCACTTCTCTGCTCTCTTTAATTCAAAACCAAGTGTCTCAACATTTCGGACAGTTTGCTTTGTCCATGATCTGGTAATGTGATTATTCTTATTAGGCCGTCCTAAATGCAAAATAAAACCTTTTTTAATCCTCAGCCAAGGGTCGGCCTGTGGTTCTGCTTCTCTTCAATGCCGGACCCTTGGATGTCACATGGGCTGATGAAAGCCCCGATGTCCATGCCATTGTGGAGTGTTGGCTCCCGGCTCAGGCTACCGGCCTGGCTGTGGCTCGCTTCATGACCAATGGCCCCGAGGGCAATCCTGCCGCAAGGCTACCGTACACGTGGCCGGCTACTATGGAAGACGTAGGTTAATTTTCAAGATTTTGATTTTGGCTCTACTTGGGAGACAGATCAAGTGGCCAAGTTACCTTTTCACCTGCACAAGTTTGAACATTAGAGGAAACAGTCTTATGTTGATTTTCCTTGGCTCTCAGTTCACAATTATCACAGACATACTTTCAAGGAATAATGCCTTTAAAATCTCCATCTGAACGATTTCCTCCAGGTGCCTCCAATGACTGACTACAGCTTCTTCAATCGCAGCTATCGTTTCTTTACTGGTGTGCCATTCTACCCATTTGGTTATGGCCTGTCATTCACAGAGTTCAACTACGACAGGGTAGTGATAACTAACCCTGTTCTCAAACCTTGCGACGATATGCATGTCAGTGTCACCCTGACCAATGTTGGCCGCTACGCTGGGGACGAGGTTAGCTTTGATAACTAAACAATGGTAGCAACTGGTATTTTCTAGATACTGTAGCTCTATGTATTAAGTTTCCTGAAAGTTTCATGTGAAATGATATTTGAGAGTTCAAAGGTTGTAGTTAGGTGTGATACAGGTGATGCCAACTTGACTTGAAAGTGGGAAATGTCTCTGAACCTTGGGGTAAATCTTGAGCCACATTTTCACAGTTGGTGAATTAGGCCCGACTTAAAATACAAAGTGAAGGCAAAACACAAATCAAGGACGCAGAACGAGTTCGAATTTCTCAAAAAAGAAAACAATCTGTAAACAGATCTTTACCTTTGATGTCAGTAAAGCCCCCCATGCCATGTGTTTAAAGTCGTAGCAAAGCCCATGCATGAAGTCGTAGCTAAGCCCAAATGAAGAATAATGTAAAGGTGCCCCTCTTTAACACCTGTTGTAGTTATTAAGTTTAACATGATATATAACAGCAAACTGATACCCTCTCATCTTAATATAGAAGATACCTTATTTCCTCTTGCCATAACAGGTGATTCAGTTGTATGTTGGCTGGCCTGATGCAGTCTTCCCAGTGCCCCAACTCCAGCTAGGAGCATTCCTCCGTGTGGAAACCACCCCCTGGAATCAGGTCACCAGCTACCTGACCATCCCACCCCGTGTCAGGGCAGTCTATGAGAAAACTCTGGTGGTTAAGCCTGGCAAGTTCATGCTGTTTGCTGGGGGTCAGCAGCCTGGTCAGAAGAGACGCATGAGCTCCAACGTCCTGACAGCTGATTTCACTGTGGTCGGCCGGATGACCAACTTGTCAGACTGCCCTCCTTAAGTATTAAGGTAACACTCTAGCTGTGGAACTCATGTCCATATTGTACTACAACACATGTATGTTCTTTAATTTCATTGTAGTCAGTGACAATGCCAATCTGGTAAAGCTCAGCAGGTAAAGTAAAGCTGTTTAACGTAATGCTACTCTGTGAGAGCTATTCACACAGAGAGTTAGACTTAAAAGTCAAGACCCAAATCACCGCAGATTTTTTTCTGTGAAGCTGAAGCACATAGAACATGAAGCTTCATGAGCACTAAATCTAAGGGTGGTAATATCAAGGATTCCCTGCTTTTCTATGTCTTGATTTTTCAGTTTTCACATTTAGGCTACTGGCTTTCTGAAATTGGCATCTGGTCCAAGTGGGAAATGCTACTGACCATTCTTATTTCACATAAAATAATGCTGAGAGCCTGTCAAAAATAAAAGGTCTTCGATCGGTAAACTTATTTGTTGCACATTTCTTCACCTATAAATTGAGTTCTTTTACAATTATCATTAATATTTTCATCTGTGCACTAGTGTTGATAATGTTCGAATTCTCTATTTAATTCCTATGTCATTATGCACAAATTCACATTTTGAACTTCCAATAGGTTTGGGCTTTGTGTCCACTTTGTGAGTACTTAGTCATACTGGGTGTCCAAAGTGTGTTTATTTTATTAGGTAACTGTCAGAACCTATTTTGATACAAATTCATCTTCTTGAGTTGTAAGAACAGCACAATGTTAATATCAGTACTCAGTGGTATCAAATTCATCCAAGGGTCATTTGGTTTGTTGCAAACCTACGATCAATTAAGTCTTCCTCTGAAATACACTAAAGAATAGGACCCACACCCATGCCTCTGAAAGAATATGTTGTAATGTTCTGATGAAATGTTGTGGTGAAATAGACCAAAAATAGCCGATACTGAAAAGTCAAGTTGGTTTCAATACAAGATTGACCAGGATACCAAAAATGCTCTAAATATGTCTTTCCAATATACATTTATATATTATTTTGGTTTTGTGTTATGTTACCTTGTACTAGTGTTATTTCTACAAATATTATATTTTGATAGCTCTTGTCTTTAATCATGCGTGTTTCTGTTGTTATAGAAGTTTCCGTAATGGCCAAATAAATCCCTATGTTTATTTGTACATAGAAAATGTGATGAAAATGTTGAAAACACATTTGAATTTGGGTATTATACGCATTTGCCTTTTGTACCGGCTCAAGATAAGATTTTTTGGGGAAACGGGTGCCAGAATAAGACCTAACAATTGCAGTGGTATGTTTAAGTTCCCGCTTGTTTTACTGTGTCTGTGTGGTATTCTACCATTTTTATTCATGAATAATGCAGAATATGTTTAGATCCAGTCATAGGACGTCGACCTAGGTTTGTACTAAAAGAAATTTTTTGACCTTTTGAATTGGTGTTAGGACACAAAAATCATGTAATGATGACGGTGGCGAATCGGGACCATCTAGAAACACGTTTTCTTTGATCTGTCAAGTTTAATAAACCTACCTCATGGACTCACTGTTCGGCCACGTGCTAGCTGGTACCTGCATTTCTTTCTCATCTGTGTCCGAGTTAGTTGTCACGGACGATTTTCCAGGTCATAACTGGAGAAACAGGCAAAAAGAATATTAACTTTTCTCTCCGCTCGCGAGGGAGAAATAAGGGATACACCTGACCTATCAGCTTTACACTGAGTTATAAAAAAACTGACCAAAATAACACAAGCAAACGTGGAGCAGAAGATCATGAAGAAAGTATTCTTTTCTATTTTAAATAGCCTAGTTACGGATATGTTGAGATGGTCAAATCTCGGCCTTTGGTCGCCCAAAGCGCACAGTGATAAAAAAATATTTTGACACCTGTTGTGAAATCTTGATTTGTCCAGACAATAGGTTTTTATCACTTAATCGCATTAAATGGTTCCAAAGGTGTCCTGTCTTACACCAGTCATCCTACGTGTACGTCCATCGTGGAGATGTCTACGTGTATAGTTTAAGCGGTAGTGGACTTCTGGTATTATCTCGCCGTGCATTGCAGTGGTGATTTTTTCTCACAGAATGGCAGCCAAAAGTCGTCTCCTAGGCCTATTATCGTTTATTTGCCTGCTGTTATCTCAAACATTTCACCAGTCATCGGAGTCGTCAGAATTTCCCTTCCAGAATTACTCGCTGTCGTGGGACGAACGACTTGACGATCTGATTTCCCGGCTGCAACTCGATGAAATCGTCCTTCAACTGGCTCGCGGTGGAGTGGGTCCCAACGGTCCTTCGCCCCCGATCCCTCGGCTCGGCATCGGCCCTTACAACTGGAACACGGTGTGTCTACGCGGAGATTTTAATGCTGGAAATGCAACTTCTTATCCTCAGCCGCTAGGACTCGCAGCAACTTTCAGGTGTGACCAGTTTTGTTGCATGTTATTAATGCGTCATGTAGTTAGATCTGCGAACTGTTAGATCGAAGTGTATTGCGATGTGACAAATACAGCGCTTTTAGAGAATTTAGCATCCAGCACATTCCATATCACATCCAAAACGAGATCCTTAAGTCACACCTAAACTGTGTTCTCCATTTTCTGGCTGAAGATTTTTTGAGGGTTTAAACAAGAAAACGTTTGATTGCATACATAATGACCGACCATTAAGCCCAAGCTCATTATTTTCGGACCAATCACAGCCTCAATTTTTGTCCGACCATGGAGCTAATAAACACATGCACTTTTATGCGCGCAGGTTGAGCGTTGTCGGCTGTGATTGGTCAGAACATAGGGCGGGTCTAAATGTGCGTCATGCATGAATTATAGAGACCTATGAAATTCCTCTTTTTGTAACACATGGACTCTTTTAGGAAAACAAACTAAACAGCCCTGTCCTCATTTCCCTTCTAATATTCGCCGTTTTACTGTATCATCAATAAATTGAATAAATTTCTCTGTAGTCGCTCCATTACTGGAGGGGTTGCTATCGCAACAAGCGAGGAAGTACGAGCCAAGTACAACAACTTTACACAACATGGCATTTATGATGATCATTGTGGATTGAGCTGTCTCAGCCCTGTCGTGAACATCATGAGACACCCTCTCTGGGGACGGAATCAAGTATGCCAATGACAGTAATTTAGTGTGTATATAGAGACAAATATCCATTTAGAAACCATTTGTGAAGACGGTGATCAAAGATGGTGCACGTGCGCTATTAATGCTTTTTCACAAGCCATTATGACTTCCTTGGATCATTTTTCTGTCAGCTAACGAATAAGCGTTTTTATATGCTGCCCTCTAATGTCCAGTTTTATTGAGTACCTGTAACTGTTTCAGGAAACGTTCGGCGAGGACCCATTCCTGGCCAGTGAGATGGCCAGGGCATTCGTCAGGGGACTGCAGGAACCTTCCTATGCCCCGGGAACCGAGGCAAGATATCTCCGAACGAGTGCTGGTTGCAAATTCTTCGGTGTCCATAACGGTCCTGAAGACTATCCTTCCTCTAGATACACCTTTAATGCAGGGGTTAGTACACACATATATACATGTATGTGTAAACAAGGAACTAGTGGTACATGGGGGTGAAACTGGCCTTAAAATGATTGGTTGATGGATACGTCAAGTGTCTTAGTCGAGTTAGAAAATACCATTTCGTCGTCTTACAATGTTGCAGCTTTTCTTTTCTGGCAAATGTGTAAAACACTGTCAAATTCTGTCAACACTAGAATCGCTGAAGTTCATACAACTTTTGCAAGCTTAATCCAATAAAGTAGCTATTAACATTTCTTGCTTTTGACTGCTATTCAATCTGAATTTCAGATATCAGAGCATGATCTTCATATGACATATTTGCCAGCCTTTCGGGAATGCGTCAAGGCAGGGGCATACAGTGTTATGTGCAGTTACAACAGGCGAGTATCTTATTTTTGTGTCTCAGTCCTTTGCATTTATAAGTAAGTACAGTTGCCTGCGGTTACAATTATTTGCATTGCCTTCATCTATAGTATCAACAGCGTTCCTTCATGTGTTAATGAGCGGTTCCTCACTGATATCCTCCGGAACCAGTTTGGATTCAAGGGTTACGTTGTCAGCGACCGGAACGCCTTGGAGTATGTCCTCCTGAAGCATGGCTACACCGAAACCCCGCTTCAGACGGCAGTGGCTGGGGTAAAAGCAGGCTGCAACCTGGAGCAGTCTGACTCGGCCGAGAACGTTTACACTAACCTCACCGAAGCTGTCCAAATGGGCGTGGTAAGCGAGGATGAACTGAAGCAGTTGGTCAGGCCACTGTTCTACTCCAGGATGAGACTGGGAGAGTTCGACCCGCCTGGGATGAACTCATACTCGAGGTTCAATGCCTCAGACATGGTTCAGTGTTTGCAGTACAGGAACCTGGCCCTTGCGGGTGCTATCAAGTCTTTCGTTGTGCTGAAGAATGAAAACAATACGCTTCCGGTCGGTACGATTCAGAAACTTGCGGTAAGTTGCATTTTTATTTTACGATCTTTAAGCTACCATCATAATTATTTATTTAATCATTTTCAACAAAGATGAATTAAAGCTCCGTGTTACGGAAAAGCACCTGACATAGGCCTTAAGTACACTGACGTGCATAGTATAAGGGTACAATATGCTTTTCCATACCTTGGGAAATTGAAGTTCGTTTTGGTTCCAGAGAAAGTTATAGCTTTGTTGCACGAATGAAGTACAGAGTAAAATCGCAGTACGACGGGAACACTGACCTTCATAAACACAGACTGAGTTTACTTAATGAACATCTTACATTAAATGTGGAATTAAAGGTCACTTCAAACAAATTTCTTAAACCTTCACCGGGTCGGTTGAAACCCAAAGAAGTTGAAACCTCCAACTTTTAAAGTGTTTTGCTTGAACTCTCTGCTTGTTTCTGTCTTCTAGATAGTTGGACCTTTTGCCAATTCTCCATGGGATCTTTTTGGAAGCTTTGCTCCCCAGACCGACCCTAGATTCATATCCACACCGTGGGATGGACTGAGAGGGCTTGGCCAGTTTCAGCGACTCGCTCCCGGCTGCAACAATCCCACGTGTGACCAGTACAACAAAACGTCCATCATGGACGCAGTGGTAGGGGCCGATTTCGTGATTGTTTGTTTAGGAACAGGTGAGCCCAAGTTCAGTGAAGAAGACTTCGATCATTACAAGACACGAACATTTAACACAGATAGACACTCTTGATCTTAGAACTTTGTAACATATGCCAAATGCAGTACTCAGTAGTTCTTTTGGATATTTTACTCACATTGAGACAATGAAGACCGTTTTTAAACAAAAGTGTTTGCCCGTGGAGGCTTTTAAAGGATTTCTACCTCAAAAGCCACTACGGAACATCTTGAAATTGAATTCGTAAATACCTCAGACAGTTTTTCTATTCCTACTGGTCGAAATGCGTCATGTGACCGTTTATTAACAAATGTTATACACCTCTTCCTAGTTCTCATAATGCCCGCCGAGAAGTGATAATGCCCGCTGCGTAAATCACACGCCGACACCTTTATAGGAAACAGTCGATTCTGATTGTTCAAGAGTCTGTGTGCACGCATGCGACTCGCCACGCACACGTTACTTGGAACGCTGATAATGTCCTCGCCTTCAACTCGAGGGATCTCAATACGACGCTTTTAGCGTCGATCTGCACACTTCCGCGTTTGAAAACGAGGCTGTATGTGTCAGCTTCAATTGTTAATACGATCAAACGATTGGTAGTAAGGAGTCAAGACACAAAATACATAACGGTGTGTT